TTCAGGAGTACTTGTTTCGAAGGAGAAGTAAGGAGAAGAAACTGGTACTGTAATGGGTTCCCTGGGAAGGTTGCTTCACAGAGGTCAAGGGGAACACAGCTCAGAAACATTATTATTACTATGGGAGAATCCAGGCCGTAAATAGCACTTTCTTATACTGCATCTCCATGTTAACTTAGATGTTAAATTTAACAGATCTTTATAAATATCAGGCATTTGTAAAAGGTAATTTGGGGACTTGCATAAAATAATGTTTACCTATTGATACACATGGCACAAATCTATGAACCAAAATGCTGTAATCCCATAACTTGGGGGTAGGGGAACAGGTTATCTCAGTACCTTTTAAATATTATCAGCACAGAAAAACAAGGATATGATATTTCAGTTTGGTCATATCTTTAAAGAAATCCTATTTTAATCCTATACAACTTCTCTCAAGGTAAGATGCAAATATATGTTTTGCTTATCTTTTTTAGACCAAGGAATACAACGTATTTTAGAGAAAAACTGAAAAGACATTCAGTGCTTATCATACTTAACATCAGTGTATCATGTAATACTGTTGCTTACTTCTTTTTGACTCTGCTTTTGATTCCAAGATGCTATGTTCTCTTGGTTTGCTCTTATTCCTGTTTGATTATTTTCAGTCTTTTTTGTTCACGCATTCCTTTGTCCACCAATGTTGGTGTTGCTAAGAATTTCATACTTTGTCTTCTCTTACTGTATACATTATCTCTGGTTGATTTCATCTCTTACTGTGCATTCAAATACTGCCATGCTTTGGATGTGAATTGTCCCTGCCAAAACTCACACTGAAGTTTAATGGCCAGTGAGCAGTGTTGGGAGTTAGGGTCTAGTAGGAGGTGTTTGGGTCACAGGGGCAGATCCCTCATGAATACATAAATGCTGTCTCAAGAGTGAGTTCTGGTTCTCATGGAAATGGATTAGTTTCCTTAATAGTGGGCTGTTATAAGGCAAGGCTGTCCTCATGTTTTGCCCCTTTGGACGTATTCGCCTCCCCTGTGACCTGTGTCATCTTTTGACCCAGTGTGCGGCCCTCAACAGAGGCTGTCCAGATACAGAGCTACCTTCTTAAACTTCCCAGTCTGCAGAATTGTAGGCTAAATAAACCTCTTTCCTTTACAAACAACCCAGTCTCAGGTATAGCAACACAAAATGGCCTGAGACAACTACCCTCTATTGTCAAATAATTCCCAAATCTGTATTTTCATCCCTGACCTCTTATATACCCTACTTACAAATTTTCAATGATTTCCGGCTGCCTTCAGCATTAAAAAATCTAAAGTTCTCAGTATGATACACAAGGAACTTCAATATCTAGTCCAATCCCATCTCTCTAAAAGTCACTGTGGTCCTCTGAACAAGTCCTGCTTGCTCCTATGATTTTGAACAGGTTGCTCTGTATTTCTGGAAAACCCGACCTACCATGCCCGCTATGGGATTAATTACATATGTTTCAAAACTAGCTCAGTTGGTAATTAAATTCAATATATACTGAGGACATTTTATATGCTGGCACTAGGTTCCTGCAGTCATGGAGTTTACATTCGTGTGTGTGACTTTCCAGGGGAAGGGGCAAGGTAAATAAATAAACAGGGAACTAGTGAAGTAGTGATAAAGCTTATGATTAAAATGAAACAAGGTGATGACAGTGACTAGGGGAGTTTCTTTAGATCAAATGGCTAAAGACTTCTCTGAGAAAGGGATGTTCTCTGAGGAAGAGTGATGATCTCCTCTTGGAAACTTATGTCTATTAAGGCATTCGACATGCTATTTTTAATTTATTTTTCACCGTGTACATCTACCCCACCACATACTTGTTTCTTGAGGGAAAGAACTCAGTAGTTTCAATTTGAGTTGTCCTCTCCCAACATGAAGACTGGCACATAGTTGATGTTAACACATTAACTGCCATGTGAGTTGTATTTAACTCACGCTAGTTTTGAGCCTGGGGCCTCGTGAAGCATACATAACTCACATGTCTTTTCACCTTGGGATCCGCATGAACTATTTTTCAAGTTGCATGTAACTCACACACAGAAAACAATAAAAAATAACAATTTTTTTATTAAATTAGAAAGGATAGTTTTGTTTTTGAAGTTTTTATTCAATTTTCTTAATAAAACACCATGGCCCCAAGTAAAAAAATTTTTTTCTAGTGTGGCAGTCAATGTGTTAAATAAAAATTGATAAATGAATGAATCAATGAAATAAACCAGCTCTCAAATGCTGGGGGGAAACAGAAAAGAGTCCACATGAAAATTTTCAAGACCAAAGAATATTTAAATTCAGACAGACAACAGCTGATGGCCCCAACTTCCATCACACACACTCAAACTTCAAAAGGGGGAAACTGGATGACAGAGCTCATCCAAGCAATTTGATACGATGCCTATATCTACTCCTATCCTCCCAAAGTGCTTCTGATGCCCTCATTCTGGCTATTCTTGGCCTTTGGTTACTTCATCTTCTTCAGACATTTGATTCCTGGTTCCCTGCTTTAGTTTCCCCAGAGCCTGACTTTCATCAGCCTTAATATGGTTTCCTACTTAACCACAGCTAATGGAATCGCAGGTCTTTTTCTTTAGTAGTCACAAGATAATGTAGTGACCCTTGTTTTTCCCTGCAGTATAGTCTCAGCTTTGTTTTCTAAGAATGACTCTGAATTATCTACCCAGTCATGTACTGCCATTACTCCCCTTAAATAAATCTTGTTCTAAAATCTTGGGGTTTTCTATCTGTAGTGTGACCATACAATTTGCTGTCAAAACTGAGACTCTCTGAGAACGAAAAAAGGATGCTCATGGTAATTACAGGCAACAGGTGTAAACCAGGTTTTGTGATCATACTCTCCATCTAGCAATTTCCTGAAGAGCCTCATCTGCAACCATGACTTCTTTTTGGCTTTCTGCTCCCCTGGCCAGGCAGGTCCCTCACAGTGTGACTTCCACTCTGGCAAATATATTTGACCCTTTCCGTGACAAAAGAACTTTCCAAGATTTGTCAGTGCTTGTGTAGAGATTCGTATGTGCAAACTCCTAATTATAGTAATAATTAACAGAGCTAATATTTATAAACTCTTAGAATAAGATGGCATTTTATATGCTTTACTGAATTGAATTCTTTTCATAGAATTCAAAAAATTCTGGTGAAATTCCCTCCATTTTAGAGATAAAAGAAATTGAGGCTTGAAGAGGTTTAATTTACCCAAGGGCATATTATTAGTACATGCAGAGTTTAAACTTAATCCCAAATCTGTCTCCCTGCAAGTGTACATGTTCTAAAGTACTATAATATATATAATCCCTTGCTGTAAAACAATCTTTTAATGGAAAAAAAAATCAATCATTATGATTAAAATCTCTAATGTTTCTTAAACCCTGTATTTCTCTTATTAACAACTATAATAATATTGCTCACATAATACCTATTTCCTAGACTAATGAGTCTCTAAGAGTTTGGAGTTGTGTATCCCAACAGTAAAAAATGTTGAGCATGTATTACTCAACAAATGTATGTTTAGAAATTATTTACGTACACTAATGTAGTAATCAATTATATATACCATAGAACATATTTCAAGATAAAAATAAAAAATATGAAACTAAAAGTCAACTTAAGTCTTAATGTTTTTCTGCATCCCAAAGGGTTATCTTTCTCACTCCCTGAGAGAATATTCTGAAAACTCATCATCTAAACTGGTGCCATCTCAAATGTTAATGTGCATATTAGTCACCTGGAGATCTTGGGGCTTTTTTGTTTTTTAAAAATCTTCATTGACACATATTTATGGGGTACATGTGTTATTTTGTTACATGCATAGAATGTGCAATGATCAAGTCAGGATATTTAGGTTATCCATCACCTCAAACATTTATTATTTCTATGTGTTGGCAACATCAAGTCCTCTCTTCTGCCTATTCTGAAATATACAATACATTGTTGTCAGCTACAGTCACCCAATTCTGCTATTGAATATTAGAACTTATTCTTTCTATCTAACTGTATGTTTGTACCCATTAATCAATCTCTCTTCATCTCCTCTCCCATACATATGCCCCTTCCCAGCCTCTGGAGATCTTGTGTTAATGCAGATTCTGATTCAGTATGTTTAGGATGGGCCTAAGAGTCTATTTCTAACAAGCTCCCAAGTAATGTTAATGCTGCTCACCCATGGAGCACACTTTGAGTAACAAGAATTTAAATACGAGATTAACGGTTAGCCAAACTTACGCTGCTAATTTCTGGGAAGTAAAATAAATAGCTAATTCTAAAGTCAACTTTCCATTACTATGGGCAAAATTGAAAAAGACTACCTTTTAAACCATACAACAATCATTAGACATATTAATCAATAACATCAAAGAACATACTTGAAATGTAGACAATCATTACAACTGGGCATATACTTGCCTAAACTGACATTCCCATAAGAAAAAACTGATTTTGTTTCTATATGCTTCTTTTCCATTGCCAAAGACAGAAGTGAATAGAAATTAAGAAAATAAGGACAAAGAGCAAAATTAACTAAAATATATGTATTTTTATCTGTTTCCAACATGAAATCAGTAGGTAGGAAACCTACAGTTAACTATTATTGGCTAACCCTTATATTTATGTTAACAGGGTTATAACAATGTTTGGTTTTTTTTTTCTTTTTAGTTTTTAAATAAATGCAAGGCAAGAATGTCCAAAGAATACTATTTTTAAAACCTATTTTAAATTCGCACAAATTTAAAAGGTTCAAATAGCTGAAATGTACAGGACTTTATATATGAAATGTAGGCAAATTCGGAATATAAGCAAAATGAAATCAGAAAGTATTTTGCTTTTACTTTTAGTCTTGTAGTTCCCTAACAAAACCCTAAAGTTCCAATACCCTGACTGCATGAGAACATCTCATGTGACTCTCTAATAATTTCCAACAGTCAAATATACCACAGAACTAACATCATACTCAAATTTCAATTATTTACCTTGTCAATCATTTTTCTTGCTTCCACTTCCTCACTGTTGGGATTCTCTAACTCAATGGTATAAGTACCCTTGTCACTTTGGTCATCATCATTATCCTTTTCAGAAGTAGCAGAAGTTGCTTGATTTTTTAACATTTTATCCATCTCCTGGCTTGGTCTGTGCCCAAGACTCCCTGAACTTCTTAATAATGCAGTTTGTAGGAAGGGTATTGACACCGATGGCTCCTCTGATTTCTGTTTTAATAATTTCCCATGTGGAAGACCATGCCCCCCTCTGTGATGCGTAGAGCTAGTCTGTAAAGACAAAGAAACCACTTTGGCATCTGCTGTTGGAGACTTTGTTTTCTCAAGTTTTGTATGTGTTGTTGAATATGTAGCATCCTGACACAAGATTCCCACACTTTGAGTAAAAGAATATGACCTTCTCTTTCTGGGATTGTCTTCATCAAAGAATGCAATCATAAAAGCAGTTTGACTTACAACAGCTTGGTCTTGATGCTTTTCAGTAGCCTGGACCTTCTGTAGCTTTTTCTGTTCTGAATGGTGGCGCCTTAAGTGTTCCTCAAGAGTTGCACGTTTGCTACAGCGCCTGTGAGCCCCAGCATTTTCTGAATCACTTTGGGTACCATCATCATGTTTATTTCCTAGACATGAAAAAGAAACCGCACAATGGAGAAGAAAAAAATCCCATGCAGAAAATTAGAAGCATATACAAAAGTGCTATTTGTTTTGCCTCCCTCCCCCTTTCAATCCAAAGTCATATGTTCTGTTCAGTAACAGGCTCTGCAAACTTCCCTCAACTGCAATGGTTACATTCAAATTTTATCAACTAACAATGAGCTCCTTTATAAACAACTGAATAGGATTGCCTTTCTTTCTCCAAATTTTAACTTTATAATGATTCATCAACGCCTTAACAGATAAGCAATGCTCTATCATCTATGATAGTTTATAATTATAACATCAAAAAACATTAATTCTGCCTTTAAATCTTACAACTTATTTAACAATCAAAATTTGACTCTAGCATCAGAGAGGAAGAAGGACAAGCAAAGGGTGACACCACTAAAATGCTTACTGTTACACAGAGAAAGAGAACACAAATACGACAAAAGTGTGATGAATCTTAACTTTCACTGATGGTCAATACTTTTGAAAGTTCAGGATACAGCTCCTTCTTAATACAAAGATTCAAATTTGTAGTTCCCACTAATTACTGCACAATATTTCCCAAATATCTTTGTAGATATGAGAGTTTTTGGAAATTAAATTTGTGCTCTAAACTCCAGTGGCTTCAAATAGTTAAATAAAGCATGCTAAGAGACCTATGAAGGAAAAGAAGAGTCTATGAAATCCCTACATAAATCCAGGCACCTACTGGGCAAATAGCATGGTGCTAAATATAACCAGATGTCTTCTCCATAAAGCATATAGAGCTGAGTTAGAATATATGTGACTTTTGAAAAACCAGCTCCCTAACAAAGGTTTTTCTGTATTAGAACAAGTGAAAACCACTAAGTAGTTACCCTTCACAGTTCTGTTAAGGATTAGATATGAAACTACAACAACTTGATTTTTCATTGATTTAAAATTCTTATTACCTAAATAATAAGTACTTTAGAAGAAATAATCAAATGATAATTACATTATTATAGCACAAAATTACTGGAAAGTCAAGAGTTATGCTATGCATATTTTAGATGAAATTACAAATCAGGGCTTAAATGATGGCTTCTTTAAAAACTATAAATGAATTTAGTCAACCAGGTCCATTCCAATACTTTGTGGACTAATTCTGATTTTTAAATTTCCTGGGCTACAAATTTTAATGTGAACACCTGCTGAATAACGTGGTACTACACAAGATAATTATCAGAAATGAAAGCCTTGGGGGTGGGAGGAGCAAAGGATATATGTATGGGGTTGAGTTTTAATGCTCATGGGTTTGTTCCTAATGAATTTAGAGGTTAACAACGGGTTATGATTTAACCCATTGTTAACCCAAAATGACTGGCTGTAAAAAATGTGGTACATAAAAAAAAAGAGAAGATTCAGAAGAGAGAATGACAGAACATATGACACTGAGAATGACAGAACAATGACAGAAAAGGGTGAAGTTTTGGAAAGGCAATGAAAGTAAGGGAAACAAAGGGAGTGAATAAGACTAAAATGAAGGGTGTTTGGGAGCATTCCCATCAAAGTGATAGTGATCAATACTATAAAAATCAGATACAACAACAAATCTGAAGATCTTTCTTCAAATTACTGACTATTCAATATGCAATCTGAAAAGAATAAAAACAGGTGCTTAATTAATAGAATCCCTACCTCAGGTAGTTAAGCTAGGAATCATGGACAGCAGATAAAAGGTAAAACTCAAACAAAACCACTAGTTTAAATATAAAATTCATTAAAAACATAAACAACCTATTTCATCATTGTATGGGCTCTATTGAAAAGGAATCCAGTTTGTAAGAGATGGAAAAAACTAAACTCAAATATTTCCTACACAATAAGAAAAAATAACCCATATCAGATGCACACTCAAACATTTTAACGAAAATACCATCTTTACAGAATTTAATTCTTGTTCCAATGTATAAAATTTGGCCCTTGCTGGTGTCAGGCCCTTTCAAATGTCTTTCCTATAACTTATAGTTTAAAACTTCTCTTATAGATTAGTAATTTTCTCTTCTGGAAAATTATTATATCTTCCTGCATTTCTCAGTGTTACACAAGGTGAGACAACTGATCAGAGCTGCAATTTTCTGTTTTTACTCAACAAAAGATCACCAGTAAACTCCTAAGTTTCTTACTTTCCTTTTTGCCTATTATTAACCATGCCTAAATATGTTGACATTCTTTTAATATTTTTTAGGGTAGGTTAGCTGTACCAAGTCAGTAGCTGTGGCCAAAAGAAGCTGCAACTCTCCCAAAGGGTAAAAGTGTATGGGCTTTGTGAACATTATTTTCCTCACTGTCCCAAAGCGCATGCACTTTACTCTTGTAGGAGCAAGGTTTTTGTTTTTGTTTTGTTTTGCCTACTTTAAATTTTTTGACTGATCTAAACAGTTGTTGAAAGTCTAATTTTTATAACATTATTACTAATTGCTATAATTACATTTATTTAGAGTCTGGGTATATACGTTTGATATCCTAAATTGTGGAAAATTGTTATCTAATGATGGCAGCTGACTTTTGAAGAAAATCTCATGGCATTTATAAATATGTCTGGAGAAATAAAATGGATCTATCCTGTATCAAAAATGAGTTATATTCACAAAAACCTTTTTTTGGATGGTGTGCAAAATGGTCTAAAGACAAATCGAAAAGAAGAACTCTCAGCAATGGCACCATATTGGAATATATGTCTGTCTATAAATCAACTTTGACGGACAATGTAATTTGATTATATAACTTCTGATAAAATTTTTAAATTTCTAATCACAAAAGTATAGATACACTGATGTGGACATTAATGCCTCTATTTGGAATCAGGTTCACAAATGAGCCTTGTTCAAGAGCAGAGAATGTCTTAAAGTGATGGCTTAAAAATAACAGTTAATACAGAAAATAGTTATAATGAATAAAATGAGTTATAAAAGGGTTTAATAAAGGTATTTTAAAATGGTATCTTTTAAAAGGATCTAACTCATTTTTTATTTATTAAGAGTGGTTTAAAAAAGACTGTTATTTCTAAATTTTTGAGGATCATGCTACTACGTCTTAAACTATACCAAGGATATCAGCATTATTTATCCAATTCATATAAATGGTAAGTTAAAAAATGTGTAGCTTTTATTCCTGAGCTTTAACCTATATATACGTATATAGGTCTCAATTATGTATTAAAATTACCTAGAAGAAGTGAAAGTTCACAATCGTATCTCAAAAGTACATGTACCAGGTAAGTGCTGATAATTATAACTAAATATTGTAATAGGCCCCAAGAAATAATTAGGTAATCACATCATCTCACTATCTTGAAATGTCTTAGAAGCAAATCAGAAGTACATATGTGAATATCATTTCTTCACTACTTGATCAGAATGCCATGACATAAGTACAGATTAAATCAGAGTCAGTCTTGTCATAGAGAAGTCATTCATTGTTTATTCAATTTACCGGGTACCTATTACATGTTCAAGTACCCAATGTAGTGTTGGGTAAGTGATATATGGTCTCTGATCTCAGAGCATCTTTTTTAAGTCCATTAACTCCTAATACAGTAAAAGAATAGTCAGATTAATGTGCAATTGCAATTTATTCAATATCGTTTTCCTTATAGATACCTTGTTAAATAAGAGTAGGACAGACTAACACAAATCTGTATTCAATCAATTCTAAGATAAATTTAATTGACAAAACCAATGGGAAAAGAGTGATCAGCTGATATCTCAATGTATAAGCATAAAGATATATTATTAATTTTAGCCAAGTGCTACACTAATATAGCACATATAACTATTTCACAAATGAACATTCATCTGTGAGTTTTATAAAGCCTTAATATTGAAAAATTTTTAAATTATTAGATTCCTAGTAAGTATTTCTAAACCAAAAATTTCTGTTTTATGAGGAACCACTGAGAACAATTTGAAACACTCCATCAATAATATATTACCCAAGTAGAACTGCTGGCCCATACCAAATGGCTTGAAATTTCCTTCAAAATCTAGATATTGACATCATAATAGATAAAAGAATTGAATATATCTTTTCCTTAAATCAAGAAAATAATGGGAATTGTCTTCCAGGAAATTCCACTGATGAAACAAATAAATTTTATATTTCCATAGGAAAAAGAGACATTTAATGACATAAATATAAATTCACAAAACCAATGTGATTTTGGCAAGAAAATGAAGAAAGCCTATTTTGAGTAAGTTGGACATGGCAGTCTGGCTTGCTTTTCAGCTTGAAAATTAAACTTTGAAAAAGCAGACTTTTCTGCCATATAATTATCTAACAGAAGTAGGGTAACTGTGAAGACTGTCCTTTATCACAAAATAGGAAGTTCTGAAATGATCAATTCACTTTACCTTTCAACCTTTTCAAGTATACCGGAACATCACTTTTAATACTTTTGGAATCCTCTTCTGTTCTTTCCCATATCATTTGAGGAGGGTTGTTTTGTGCTAGCCAATCAGCTACTTTGTTTTCTGGCGCCATCATTCCTGTTTGAATTCCCGGCAAGTCTTGAGTTCCAGGAGAAGACTTCTTTGACTTGTGGCGCTGATCAGAAGTAAATTTTGTCACATGGTCTCTAATAGTTACCTTCCCTGGGGTACTGTCATCAAACTCAATGGTAAATGAAGCATGCCCTGCACCTGTTGTATGGGAACTTGGTGTGTCTTTTGTTGGGATTTCATGAATAGTGTTCTCTGTTATTTGTGATGGTTGCTGAAATTCTTTTGTAGGGATTTCAAAATAACTTGGTTCCCTACAGAAAGGAAAAAGTACTTCTTCATTTGCAGCTGCAGATTGTTCCTCAACTTGCTTGGCATCTATGCTGCACCCTAATGAGAAAAATAAGAGAGAATTCAAAGTATTTGGGAGTTTCTGGCACTTAAGGGCATCTGGTGATGGCCATTTGTATTACTCCATGAGAATCAGAAGGCAGATCACAGTCTGGATGAAAAACAATGGCATTTATATCACAGAACAAACATCACAGAGAAGAAAGAATCTTGATTATAAACATGCCATTCAATTACCAATAAGAGTTGCAAGATAAGAGCAGCAATGGCAAAGGACAGCCAAGCAGTTAAGAAATGGATCTTGCATGGCTAGGTCCATGATTTTTCCAACTTGGATCTAGAAATCATCAAGGTGCAAAAGAATTGAAATCAAATATAGATGGATATGCATGTTCATTGTATATATGTAGAGTGATAGAAAAAGCATGAATTTTCTTATCAAGTCACCAGAATGAAATATTTGAAATGTCTATGAACACGCTTAGAGCTCCAAAGGAGAACAGGTGCTCAAATGAGGATACAAACATGCAGTAAATATGTAAGTGATGTTCTGGAAGTAATGATTCCACTTACCATTCTTCATTACATTCAGAAACATTACTTTAAGAATCACAAAAATAATATTACTGATGTGTGAAAGAAGACAGATACATTTTATAAAGACTAAAAGAGTGGTTAAAGATAAAACATGTGGTTTGTTTGCAGCATTGCAATCCAAGCAGCAGTATGAAAGAAATAAGGTAAAAATAGAAAATTAAGTTGCCAGCCAATAACTCCAGAAGAAAATTAGTTTACATTTCTACAAAGCAGAATGTGCACGAGAGCTGGGAGAAGGAGCAAGCAACGCTGGAACACTATTACTATTCTTCTGTGCCTCAGAAACAAATATAAAGGTATAAAAATAGATGCATTTATAAATAAAATATACGAAAGTATATAAATTAAAATAACTAAAATGCTCTCTTTTAAGTATGTTAAGAAAGAAATTTTTTTAAAAATTAAAGATTATACTGCCCTGTTGTTGAGGAAGCAAAAGAACCACATCTATTTTAAAGATCGTCAAGAGCAAGTTCAAATGAAATATATTTCCTTAAAGCTCAAGAATCTATTTGTTTATAAATGGATTGATAGAAAAATCATTTACAGACAATTTATTAGGAGGAAAAGGCAATACTTTTCTAATTAAGTAAAGCATTTGGTCTTCTGAAACATTGTTTCAAATATTTAATCTTGGTGGGATTCATTAGATGCTATAATTAATTTCTTGAAAGTATTCTGAATGACAATCATAAAATTGCTTTTAGGTTATAGAAGAATGGGACAGTAACATCCTATAATCAAATGTGCAGGATAGGGCATAGAAGACATCAAGATCCATTTCAAAA